GATGGGTTGGATGATAATTTTTAAATGTAGACAACTTCACCAAATAATATAACATTTGTTATAGTTTCCTAAATAATTTCTTACTTAACTTATTTTCCTAAAAGAAATGTTAATAATTTCTTTCTAAATAAGCCAATTATCTTTATTTATAATTGTTAACCAATATAATTACCATAATATATAAAAATATATTTTTAGTTTTTGTTTAATTCAAATTATTATTATTATTATTATAGGGGAAAGAGCTCTGATTTTGATGTAAACTGTTCAACTATTTTCCCTCTGTGAAGTTATATTCTTCACTGACTAAGCTTTTATTATTATTATTAATTTTTTATCTTTTTGTCTCTTTCGTGTCCCCATTTGCCACGTGTCCTGTTCAACCTCCTCCATATGTTGTTTTTGCAGTCTTCTGATTCATTCAGTACATTTCTCCCCTTTTTGTCTTCTACTATTTTTAATTTAAGGTAATTGATTTATAATTAATTAAACTTAATTTTTTTAACAAAGCTTTAATTTTCTTTATTTTGTTATTTATTTATCAAATTAATCTTAAAATTATGTTTATTTTATTTTTCAGAATACTATATATAAATATATGTATTATTAATATATGTATTCATTTCATATAAAGAAATATATATATATATAAAATTTAGATCCGTTCTCGTGGTGATGATGATCAGCTTCTCCTTTTTTTTTCTTCACTGATATTTATAGGCGATGATCAATTTTATGTGGGTTTTGGTCCACCGTTACACTACCTTTTAAGGGTTGGAAACATAGTAGCATGTTGGAATGAGTATGAGATTGTATTTATAGATTCGGGTTTATCATAAAAAAATCAACCTTAGATAATAGGATGATTATCTCTTGTAAATTTGATATATTTACAAATAATATCTTTCTTTATATTAATTAGGTTTCTATTTATTAAAAAATAAAAATTATATATGTATCAGATCAAATCAGATTCGGACTTCACCTTAAAATTAGGTTAAATTTATAATTGGATGAAATCTCTCTAAACACATATTAAAACAAATAACATCTAAAAATACAATACTCGATAGAATTCAAGTTAATTGAAAACTCATCCTAATCCATGCCTATCCATAGTCGTAGGCATACTTCATAAGACTAGATGTGAAGGAGTTAACTTGAAAATATTAATTAGTTGAATCCATTGAATTATTTTAGTAGTAAAATGAAATGTTATTATTCTTAGAAGATTCAAATTCAAACAATTGTATTTATAGGGTGTATGTACATTGTCATAAGATTAATAAAATATTGAATAAATTTATATTATAGTCGCTTAGAATATTAAAAATGTCAATTACTTGAAAATTGATTTCAAAGAAGTGTTAGAATATAAGCAATCTTATATATTTAGACACTATTATTGATTTAATGGCATAATAATGAAAATAAAAACATTTCAAAAAGTTACCAATGAGGTTGGTTTAAGTGATAACAAGCTTGATATTAATTGAGCATGTTCCGAATTTGATGTCTTGTGTAAGCATAAAATCTCTTCCGAGATACTCATCCACCAAATCAGGTTTGTGACATGGGTTGATTGGATTAGTCAAGACATAATCCTGGAAAACCAGAGGGCAACCAAAAAAAAATTCTTAAAGGTATGACTAAAATGAATATTTATATTTGAAAAGACCAAAGTATAAAAATCCCAAAAGTTGATGACTGTGGGTGTAATTTAAAAAATAGAAACTTATTACTATATCCAACTAAGATGACTGACACAAGTGTTAGAAGGGCCCACCTTCAAAGAAAAAAGGGGGACCACTGTCCTACTTTAGATTACCACGTCAGCAGAGAGGCATCAAACGTTTACGTGTTGGATGATCATTAAGGAACACGTGGTGCTGTCCCTTGTGGGCCAGTGAGTGGGTCTGCCATCAACTAAAATACAAAAACGGGAAAACCAACGCTGAAAGATGGCGGGCCTACGTTTTTGCAGTGTATGTGCGTCACTTCTTAACACGCCCGTTTTCATTGAGAAACAAAAAAGAAATCGAGTAGAATACGAACTCGAGTAGGTAAAAACATTTCAAATTTCAAAAGATATTTATAAATTTACTCAATTTCATTTTAAAAAATTAATAAATAATGAGTCGAGTCGTATCAATTTTTTTATAGATAATAGTAAATTAATTTTAAGTTTGATTTTTTATAAAAAAACATTTGATCCTACTCAGTACAAAAAGTATAATAAAATATTTAACTTTTAAATTCGATTTTTTATGAAAAATATTCAATACTACTCAGTACAGCAAGAATAGTAGTATATTTAATATTTAAATGATGTACGATAATGTTTCCTTTGTCCTCCTGAATTTGTTATTTTTCATGTCTATGGCTTATCATGAAAGGATTTTAAGAAGAAAATGAGGGTGATATTAACTATTTTACTTTTTATCGTACATTTTGACTTATTCTTTTTTTATACGAAGTGTTCTATATTCATTGTATAAATTGATGATGAAAGCAAATAGGGTACATAAACTATAGATGTTTCACCCCTCAAGGTTTGGACTAGGGGAGGATGCAATAAGCCCCTTAGAGAGTCAAATATATCCTCATTATTTCAAAAAAAATGATTAAATGTAGTTTAATGTGTTTAAAAAATAAAAATAAAAATATATTCATTATTAAAAAAATTTAGACATTTATTTTTAAATTTCTGGATCTGTAACTAGTTTAAACGAAGAATTACAGCCAATGATCAGATGGATTTTGACAGATGCTAAAGTTTTATGTTTTCATAAGAAGGTAGATAAGATATGAATGGGTAAGGGATTATCTCTCCTCTCGGTTCGAGTCGAGAGACTTTATAATTAAGCATAGATTTATGATGACTACCAATATATTAGAAGGATAATAATTCTAATTAATATGATCAGTTGTCAATTAATTTTGTTTGTGGTAATTCACATGAACCTAAAGATCATATAAAAAATATAATAGTTGAAATATTTATTTTAAATGTATATAAAAATATAATTTATTATAATAGTATGAGAGTTCAAATATATATTTTAAACATATAATAAAAACATATAATATCACATTATTTAAATATTGAAATCTAAATTCGAATGTAATGATTAAATTGTTAAAAGTTGTTTTAAAAAAATTCATAGATTGCCAATCATTGTTATTTATCTCTGTTTCTGTTTTTGCATCCTCTAGTGCCAAAAAACAAAGCGCTAAACCCAAAGCGGGGACTTGATTGCACTTTCATTGGATTTTTTCACTGTAAAAAAAACACAAAATTACTTAAAACCACCCGAACCCTGTTTTTTTATTTATTTATTAAATTAAGGTGATATTAAAGTAATATTTGTTCAACCGGTTGGTCTAATGAGACGAGTCATTAGATTTTTTAAGCAAGATTATGGATTCAAATCTTGGCTTTTACAAATTGATTAAATTAGGTTGGGAGGGTCGCCATTTGTTTCTAGTACCTGATTTGGATTAGTCGATCAATAGATCGAGTACCAATAATTAATTCAAAAAGTAATATATGTTCAAAACATTCTCAATTATTTGACAATGAACAATTAATCATCTTTATAATCAATGGTGTTTGATCTCATGATGTTTAAAAATAACAACAATATATTTAAGTATTAAAATAAATTAATTCGTGTCAAAACTTGAAATACTTTACAAATAGGGGAGGATTGCAATGATTTTCACCTTTCACGGAATGATGGGATAGATACCCTATTCTCACCACATTTTATAATTACATAATATTTGATCTATTATTGATGAATTTGACTTTAGATATTGTAAAAGTTTAATGTATAAATAACTTTTTATCTATTTTTTTCATTCACAACATAGAATTTGAATCTATATATTTGATATTTTGACTGAATCTTTATTATCTTGACATCGGTAGTGTATTCATAAATATTTTTTAGAGTGTGCACATATACATCAACAATATAATTTTTACATTGGATGAGCATAAAAAAATTTCAGGGTAGACACGATCAATATAATTTTTACAATTTAATTGTTTTTGTTCTTAGAGGTTACGAGTTCGAGCACCAGCGACTGCAAGGGTGATTGAGCGTTCATTTTCAAATGGTTGAGACTACTTAGAACAATATATACTACTTTGTAATCATCTTTAACTTAATAATATGTTTTCTTCTAATTTTAGGTTAAAAATGGTGAAAATTATTGTAATTTAAAAAACATAATATTTTATTTTGAACGCAATCTAAAATGTTACCTCTTTAATAACATTTGTAATTATAACCTAAAATATTACAAATAAAATAATATTTTTGATTTTCTTTTTAATAACATTTTAAATTACACTTATTTCTACCCTTTTTTAGCACCTATCTTAATCCGTTATAGAACTCCCTAAAATTTATGAACGGATGAATTTTCAAATAATATACTTGGAAAAATAATTCATCGAATAATATTGTGGAGAGATTATTTCGTGGAATATGGTGAATGCTACAGTATATCTCATAGTCACGCTGTCGTCTCGGCATCCCAACCTTATCCCTCGAAGACGCATGGGTGTCCATGTGTTTATGACCGACCCTCAAACACCCCCTCGAAGACGCATGGCTTTCCATGTGTTGCTGCCAAAGTCGCATGGCTTGTCACGCGTCTCTGACTTGCATGCCAAACACCCGTGATGCTGCGGCAGTTTGCCCCATGTAGTAGCCACTTATGAAGTTGCATGGGGCAAAGTCGCGTAGCTTGCCACGCGTCTCTCAATTGGCCCACACACCCATGACGCTGCAACAGTTTGCGCCCATGTAGGGGGCACCCGTGACGTTGCATGTATGGGGCATCAATAAAGGCTGTATTTTGTAGCAATAATAGAGGTAGGTTGGTCGGTTGAGGCAGCAATAATAGAGTCCATTTGATTATATATTGGGTGTATGGGAGGGAATGAGGCACCGGGAGTGAAGAAGAAGATGAGAATAAATAAAGGAGGAATAAGAAGAAGAAGAATAAAGAAATAATCAGGTTAGGTAATTTTTTTCTTTGATATTTTAGTCTCTTACTTAGATTAGATTAAATTAGTTTTGTTTATAATAATGTTTATATTAAATTGTTAATGTTATTGATTTTTTTTTACAAATTTGTTTAAATGACATAACAAAATCAACTACTTCATATTGACGCTCAACATATTTAGAACCATTTGGGAGAGATGATGTTATTATTATTTAATAAAATATTATAATTTGAGAAAAAATTATTGTCATTAAATGGTATAAGTTTATTTTATGATCAATTGATTAATTTCATGAATATTATAATTGTAGCAAGACGAGCAGTGAGTCCTCCATCATCGGATCAATATTCTTGTTAAGCTACACCTTTGATTGAAGATCACCTGAAAGGGGTTGGATTTTGTTATGTTATATTTGTTCAAGAGTATAAGTTGGTCATGCTTTTGATAAGTGCATTGATTGAATGTTGAAGGCCAGAAACACATACATTTAATTTTTCGTGCGGAGAATGCACGATTACCCTAGAAGATATGGTCTTCCAACTCGGGGTACCAACAAATGGAATGCCGATGGTGATGAGAAATGATTACAATAATGTGAAAACACTTTGCAATGAGTTTCTTGGGTAGACAACATAAGCCTAGATTTAAAAGGGTGGCGTTTGAGGCTGTCGTGGTTGAAGAATCAATTTAAACTCCAAGAAAATATTACCCAAGAAGAAATTTTATAAGCAATTCGAGCATATATCTTGCAGTTGATTGGGGGAGTTTTGATGTCAGATAAATCTGGTAATCTGGTTCACACGCAGTATCTCCAGTTTTTTTTTAGAAATTTTGAGAATACGCGTCAATATAGTTGAGGATCTGCGATATTGGCATTCTTGTACCGTGAGATGGGAAAGACATCAGTAATCGTCAAGAATATTAATATAGCAAAAATCGATGGATATCTGATGTTGCTAAAATCTTGGGCTTGACACAAACTTTCATTTTTAACATCGATTAGTCGAACAACGATTGACTTTCCTCTTGCCAGAAGATAATATTTATTTTCTTTATTTTAATTTAAATTCTTAATTAGAATTTATTTATTGTGATTAAAAATAAGTAATGAATATTTTTTTGATATACAGATGGAGGCATAAAATAGAAAGAACGATAATAGTGTATAATAATATTAAAGAGTTTTGGTTGAAGATCGACATTTATAGCAAAAAGAATATCTATAACGTAACGTAACGTAACGTAACGTAACGTAACGTAATAATACTATTTAATTTAATTTAATTAATTAATTTATATTTATTTCTTAATTTATAATTTTATAATTTTACCTAAAGAATTAATTTTTGGAGGCATAATTTTATAATATAAATATAAAATAATATTTATTTATAATTTTATAATTTCACGTCTAATTAATTTTTATAAATTTTAATTTTACAGTTTAATTGGAGGTCGTACATAGATCAAGAAGTTTTAGCGTGTGTGCCGGCAGATGTTTTTGAGGGTTGTCAAAATTGGGGTGTTGTTGCACTATTGATTCATTTTACTTTTGTTGAGATACAATTTTTGAATCGAGTGTTGAGGCAGTTCGACTGCCACCAACCTATTCTGCCCATTCCATGGGATCATTACCCCTTGCACAGATTAGATGGACGGGGTAAGCACAACGTGAATTGGGTTGCGATGCACACAAACTACATTAATACTTGGAAAAACAGAACTTCATACGTGCCACCTCTTGATCCATATTAAGATGATGATTTTAATTTTGAGACTTCAATTTACCTTCAGTATTATTGGGTTCATGGAAATTCGTACCTGACGACATTGAGAGAAAGGCAACAATTTAAGAAATATAAGAAAAAATGTGGTACAGTCGATAAATTTATACCGAGTGGAAGTGGGGGCTCGTCTCAACAACATGAAGCGGAAATAACACAACCGTTTGATGATTCTTTTGTTCCGGAATACATACCCGAGTTGATGCATCCTCAAACACCCATCTATTTTCCCATGTTTGAATCGACGCATGACTTTAAGCAAATGACATCTATGATGTCAAATATGACTATTTTTCAGTCTACATTTCTATGAGGGATGGAAGAGCAAAGTAGTGGAATGAGATAGCATAGTGGTAAGCATATATTTACAACACCAGCTGATATGCCCCCAATGAATGAGAGGATGAGTACTATACTCCTGAGCAACCGCAACTGCCACAATACATTAGACGCCCGCCTCGACATTATCATTCCACAACACCCCGACATCGACAAGAATTATAAAATCAATTGTTATTTGTATAAAAATTAATAGTAAATAAAATGTTATTATAAGTTAAAATTAAATATTTAAATTATATTAGTATTTTTTAAACATAAGAAAATATTTTTAGATTTTTTTACTTTAACTTAAATATTTAAATTTAAATTTTATTATATTTTAAAATTAATATAAAAATATATTTTTTCAAGGTAAATAAGTCCCAATGGTGGGTGGAAACAACTAAATATATTAAATTAAAATAAATTAAAACCTTCAATCGGGTGACGACACATGTCATTATATTTGGCACTACTAACACGTAGCATGATCTAATTTGAAGATTAAATTAAATTTATTAAAATTATGACTAAATTAATAGAATCTATAAGTAAAAGTGACCAAATATGTAATCATGTCAATTTTATTAAATTTTAAAAGTTAATTATTATAAATTAATTTTAATTTTTTAAAATTACGACTAAATTGATAGAATATAAAAGTATAAGTGACAAAATGTGTAATTATATCAATTTAATTAAATTTTAAAAATTAAGATGGGGTGAGAGATAAAAAATATAAAGCAATTTTAATTTATTAAAATTATGACTAAATTGATAGAATATATAAGTCAAACTGACCAAATGTGTAATTATATCAATTTGATTAAATTTTAAAAGTTAAGATGATATAAAAAATATATTTTTAAGTTAGATAATAATAAAAAATTATTTTTTAATAAATAACAATAAAAATATATTTCAATTTAATTTGATAATAAAATATATTTAATAAGTTAAGATAAAAATAAAATATATTTTTAAACTTAAAATATATAAATTATTATACTAAAAAATACATAAATTATTATAAAATAAAGTTAATTATTTATACAATATGATATCAAATATATACATAAATTATTATAAAATAAAGTTAATTATTATAAAAAAATTCAAATATATATACAAATACATATATGATTAATGATGAGGTCTGTATCTTGGTATTTGAACATTTTTTAATGACTTTCACCCCTATATAATCCGCATCTCTTTGGTTTACTTTTCTCTCTATCATGGAAATCCATACTGGTATGAATGCGACTGGACTCAAGTCGACCCTTTGGACTTTTATGAAGCATTGGATTTGGCAACCATTCATTTGAATGCATATCTGTAGACATTTAATATCATATGTAGGTGAAAACACTCATCAACATAAATGTATGCGTTTATAACAACATACATATACATCGATTGTATGAGTACATGGATATCTCCATGCCTGAAAGCGACCACAATCACATTATTTGTGTCGTAAACCAACTCTAAATATTTATCATTCTCCTCATTCATTGCGGCGTATGCATGACATAACAAAAGTATGACCAACTCTGTCGAAATAATAAACAAGCATTGAGGTTGCCAATCGCTCGTTTGCTTCAATTGCTTTTACCGCTGTATGAGCCCAAGTTTAACATCTATTTATGAGACACTCAATCTCCTTGCCTTTATTGGACCAAACCTCAGCCAACCTAAAGTATGTATCGTTCACCACATTCGCTATTGGGAGATGATATGTACATTTTAATACTGAATTATTGGCCTCAGTAAGGTTTGTGGTCATGTGTCCGTATCGTCGAACCTCGTTGTATGCTTGCGACCATTTTTCTTACTGTATTTTCGAAGTCCATTTCCAAACACGCTGATCATCATAAAATACCTTCAAATTCTCTAACCTTTTATCAAAATTTGGTAGATGTAGTTTGTTTCCTGTTTCATAATATATATATTGTGTTAAACATCAATTAAAAAACTAAATAAATCAATACACACATGTTAAAAATAAAACTTACCTATGCTTACTATCTCGCTACGAATGCAGCGTTATGAAACTGATTGATACTATTCTTACCAATATGGCAGATACAAAATGTGGGATATGCACGCGGAGGTATCCAACGACTTCCTGGTCGTTCAACTGTAGCCAAAATACATGTTCATCGGTCAGATATCAAGCAAACTCCATATTCTCTAACGACATATTAACGTAGATTGGTCAAAAAGAAATCCTAAGCCTTTGTTGTTTCTCCTTCAACAATGACGAATGCAATTGGGAAGATATTTGCGCAACTGCCATCAACAATACATGCTTATATTGACTATACAACCACGTACAATCTACTTGGACCATACGTTTGCAAAATGGAAATCCTTCTATGCATAACTTGAATGCCCAAAAAAGTATATGAAATATTTTCTTCCATGGAACAAGTTTGTCTTCTTCGTCATATGCAGTCACGGTTTGAGACTTCACTATGGTTTCCGGGATGAATTGCTTCATTGCTTGTAACAAATGTGGTAGCTCATTGTACGATGTATCTCAATCTCCATATGTCAACATCATTGTCTTCGTTTTCACATTCCAAACCTTGTCGTATTTTACTTGGTATCCAAATTGGCTTCAAATAGGTACAACTAACATTGAACAAGGAGTCCTTGGATTCTTTTCAACTAACACCTTCGCGTATTTGCATATTACATCGGAGTCCAATAGCTAGTTGTCTTGTTCCATTGAGTTTCACAAACATGTGTGATGACCATTGTACCTTGTGATGACCCAAACATCGTGCCTATGAATTTTGGACACTCTGATCTTTCATTTACACTCTGGGCCATATTTAACACACTTCGCATATATGGTTTTTTGGTTGGACTCTACAACATAGAAATCAACATGGCCTGTAACACTCCCAACCTGTACCTGACCTGGATACGAGTCCGAGATGTCACATTAACCTTTTAAATCATATACTTATACAAAATCTTAAAAAATTCAACTTATTTTAAATAAAACAACATTATTTACATAAATTTAGCTAAAGAGTTTACAAACTCGATCAGAGCATGTCTGGCTCACATATTCAATTACATGACAACTACTTTCATTATTAAAAAATACATACGATTCAATTCTTTCTGATATGATCTTTGGAAAGGAGAAGCTGACCTGACTTGTCTATCTTTGCTCCCTTTCTCTTCTCGGAACCTACGTGTGAAAACACTCACACGCTAAGTCACATACTTACTGAGGCATATAAAACTTATAATAAAACATATTATCACTAAATCATACTATGAAGATTTCATATAATCATATTAAAATTATAAAACACATTATGCAACAAAAGTATATATATATATATATATATATATATATATATATCATCATTATCATTCTTATCATATATAAATCATATATATCATCATTAAAACCATTAAACTATTTAATGCATATAATCTTACAATTAACATTTGTAAAACATCATACAATACATTTCACAAGCAAAGCACATAACATCACACGAGGTTTAGTTATTTTATCTTTTTTATTAGCCCATGGTACATTTCTGAGAACTAAATATATACGAGTGCATTGAGATTGTACACAAATGTTGTCACCACAACTCGTATAAATTACATTGAGTACCATATAGAATTGTCCCGAAGGACCACATATATGTCCCGAAGGACCTCGTAGAATTATCCCGAATAACCACATATATGTCCCGAAGGACCTCATAGAGCCCTCAACTTTTGGCATGCCAACTATACCCTTAGCTCCCATCTCACATACTATGGGCTTTACCATTTACATCATTTATTCTCTTTATTTCACATAGTCAAGAAATCATATAAATCGCGTCTCATAGCATATATCACATGTACATGTAATCACATAGATTGTATCATATAACTTGGGCCACA